AGGAAAAATTAGACTATTCAAATCATGGTCAAACTTCTGGATACCTATCAAACTGAGCTTCCACCAATGATACAATCCCTGATCCTTTACACCTCTTGGACCGTGACTCAATACACCCCCTCTCTCCCCCTCTCCCTGTGAGATGTGACACTGTGCTGTACTAAGAAAGACCTGTCAAATTTAAAATATTCTCTATATTTATGGAGAAGCCCTCGTTTGGAGAATCTGTTGTCAGAAATACGGAGCTCTTTCTTAATGTTAAAAAAGAAACACTGGAAGATGCAGTTCATCTGCCTTATTTCAGTGAAGTTTGTTTCAGTGGCAGGCTTCAGGCATTTTGTGCCTTACCAGGAACATAAAATGTTGAAATTGAAGACCAGCCAGTCAATGTATGGATATAAAAAAGTGGCTAAGACTCTTTATTAGAACTGGTAAGAAATGAGCTATCAGCCATGATACACTGTCTATCAGATTGGCTACCTTTCTCGTTCAGCTACTGGCTGTCCAATGGACATGCAGTGCTTTAGTTTCTATTTCAAATATTGCAAATTTTCTTCAGATTTCTGTTTCATATTGAAGGACATATACTGTTAATGCACAAGGCTGTAATGCATTCCAAGGTTTCAGTTGACACCATAAGTAAGGAGAGGTCTGAATAATTTACTGAGCTCACATGAACCCTGATTTTGAACTCTAGTCTCAGTCAATTGAAACTTTCAGTCAAAATGCAAGTACAGGTAATACCAAATATATGTTGAAGCTATTGTGCCACTGCAAAACGTAACTTAAAAACGTAACAGGCAATAATTTTAAATTGTATAAAACAGAGTAATTGATTCCATGAAGGGTTCAGATATGGACTTTCTGCTGATCCAAAGTGAAATGGAATTAAAATAAAGACCAATCTTTTTGTATCCTAACAATGGAGATTACAGTACATCAGCTGAAAATCCCAATTTAAGTTTCTTTGCTTCATTGGTTATGTAAAGTCGAACTATCTAATCAAAGTATGTGGATTTTTTTACAGATTTGTCTTCAGGTTTAAACTGATTAACGTAGAACCACTTTGTTAAATACAATTTGAACTTATTTTGTTACAGTTGTGATGACCAGATTTCACATGTACTGGTTAGACCAATGGTCTAAGAAGGACCTAGAGAAATTTTTGCAGACCAAGTTGCTGAGAATAGTAACAGTTCAGATGTGGAGAGGGTGACTACATTTAGTATTACTATTTTGATGTTAATTTATTTCTGAAGCACTGTGCATTTTTAATTACAATGGAAATTCCATCAAGTATCATCATTCCTCCTCGTCAACATTTCATGAAAAATGTATAGATCAGTTTTCCCAATTTAGATAACTGTCAGGAGGCCTACTCTACCAGCAGTGTAACCAAAGACAATTTTTATTTTTGTTAAATATCTTTGAAAATTTTGCATTAATTCAGTCAGTCTTTCTCTTGGTCAATCCAGTCTTCGGGATGACAGTCCATGAATATTCCATTTTTGATCCACAGGTTTTGTTAAGTTCTTGCCCTCAACAGGATTGTTGTATCTGTGAGACAATTTGGCTTTATAAAAATGAAAAATGTTGGAAAAACTCAACAGGTCCAGGAACGTACGTAGGGAGAGAAACAAAGTTAATATTTCTGGATGTGACCTTTCATCAGGTGACTTAGTTTCTCTTGCCACAAGTACCTGCTGAATATCTCAAGATGTTTCTGTTTTTATTCCAGATTTCCAGCATTTTTTGTATTTCTGCTTTTGGATTGATGACTGGCCTTAATATTTCCAACCTTGGGCAGGACAGCAAGTAGCCAAAGTTGAATTTGTCCATTTATTATCGAATTACTCATTATCGAAATGTGTGACAGCTGAGGAAAGGATTAATCAAACTCCTGGTATATAGTTACTAAACTAGCACCTTGGGTGAGATATTAAAGTGCTGTTGGAAAATGAGATGCCCAAGGTGATTCACATGCTTATTAGGTACACCCACACCCTCCCAACTACCCAAGCACTTGGGAAAATTCTGGGAAAGAATTCAGTGCAAGTCATTTTGTTCTGTCACTATTGGATATCCTCATTTCTTACACAATTTTTATTTCCTTCCTCTTTATGACCTGAAAGCACAAATATTACCTAGGATTTTTCTTTCTGATATAAATGCTACATAGTTTTAAATTCAATAATTGAAAAGTATACAAAAATAGAAAGTAGCCAGAAGAATCCTATTGCTTGCCATGGTTTGAATAAAGGTAAAATATGTCATGTTCTTGAATGGGCAGATTTTAATTAACTGCAGAATTACAAGATTAAACATATTGTTATATCACAATCGAACCAAGTTCACGTTTCTTGCAACTAAAACTAATTATCTACTTTGAAGAAAAGCAGTACTTCTATTTCCATAATGAAGCTGTTAATCTTTCTGATAGTGTTAAAGCTGAAAGTTTAAAGTTTCTGAACAAATTAATCTGCAAAACCATTCTGCATCTGGTTGAAGTCCTACACATATTCATCGGTTATCTTTTTTCTGTTAGTTCTGATTTGTATTATTAGTGAAAATATTTGCATTTTTCTGTGTTTTTGTTTTCTTTCTGTTCTAACCTTAATTCTAAAGTCCTTCTTTTGTCAAAAAAAATTATTAAAGTAGAATTTTATGGCTTGACTGAACATTTTAGCAAGTTTCAAATATACGGCAAACACTCAATATTCTGAAGGGGACTGGGATCTCAGCAGCGCCATCATCTTTAGGGCAGCACGATGGCTCATTGGTTAGCACTGCTGCCTCACAACACCAGGGACCTGAGTTTGATTCCACCCTTGGGCGACTGTCTGTGTGGAGTTTGCATGTTCTCCCTGTGTCTCTGTGGGTTTCCTCCGGGTGCTCTGGTTTTCTCCTGCAGTCCAAAGGTGTGCAGGTTAGGTGGATCAGCCATGCTAAATTACCCATTGTGTCCACAGATGTGCAGTCTATGTGGGTTAGCCATGGGAAGTGAGGGCTTATAGGGACAGGGAAGGGGGAATCGGTCTGGGTGGGATGGTCTTCGGAGGGTCAGTGATGAGCTGAATGGACTGTTTCCATGCTGTAGGGATTCTATGATAATCAACCGTTGTTAAAATTGACTCTGTCTGCTGACTATCGCAAATGATGAGTGCATGCCTGTATTATCCTTTTTGTTAATGTGAGTGGAAGGCTTAAAGGCCATCTAGCTTGCAAGTGTAGGGCACAAAGCAACAGACTGTCTGTAAGTTGAGAAGGAATTTACTATAGTGCCATTGAGGGATTGGGAGAAAGATCTGTTAAAACTGCAGTAGTATGATTTTGATATGGGTACTCTGCATAATTAGTTTTTCTTATTTTTAAAAGGTAAGATTGCACATACCATGTCAAGATCCATTTCTCCTCATGGTTCAGCTTTCATGTCTGAATGCTATTTCCCAGAATTGTGTTCATGAATCTTTTAAGGTTCACAGTCATGTCAAAATAGCACTAACTAGCAGTTTTTTTGAGTAGATATCATACACATTTGATTTGAGAAATATCTATTCTGCTGGAATAAGTCATTGTTATTGAAAGTATTTCAATGACAACTTGTAAAAAACGCTGACATTTAACAGACAGTTTATCTCAGAACCTGATGCGTGAGACGATGAAAATAACCCACCTTTGTTGAATATTTCACTTTATCATTCTGGTGTGTCATTCTTGAGCTAAGACTTGACCTTTATGCATTTTATTTTACTTTACAGGAGATTCAATAGACCATTTTGTTAAGATATTCAAAAATCTGTTCCCTTGAAAATGAGAGGGATCTGGTAAAATAAAGGTGGGGTGTACATTAGTAATGTTTAAATTTAACATTCTGCCATGTTTTGATAGGTATGCTTTCTAATGTAAAAGTTAAACACAGTTTTAAGACATGCTGTAATCTTATGATGAAGCTGAAATAATGTAAGAAACAAATATGAAAATGTTTCAAGATCATTCTGTTACAACTTTCTTTCATTTTTCCTTCATGCAAAATCATGGGGGCAATTTGTTGACTGATCTGTATGGTGAGCATACTTTTTGATACTTTCAGGATAAATGTTAAAATGTTAGTGTTTGCATTCAACCAATAAATCAAGTACAGTTGTCATCCATTTCATAAGTCTCATTATGTGCTGCTAAATCCAATGTTTCTGCACTTGAACATCTTTTCTTTTTGTTTTCTTTTAAAAGCAGCAGTTGCACAATGGTGCCCAAAGAAGGGTCTAGGCCCGAAACGTCAGCCTCTCTGCTCCTATGATGCTGCTTGGCCTGCTGTGTTCATCCAGCCCTGCACCTTGTTGTCTCATAAACCCTATACTTTGTTTTCCACTAGGAGGTGTTGTTAATGATCACAAAAGTCCTATTAGAATGCCATTTCTCCACTTAATCATGCACCTTTTACCTTGCTTCATCATATGCCATTCTTGACTTACCATTGAAAATAGCAAACTGTCATTTTCTTTTAAGTCTGCAGTGAGATTATGTTGCATTCCTGAATGTGACAACAATAATTGTATTAATGGGATGGCATTATCTTTATAGCAAAGCTCCTTCATAGTTTTTAGTGAAGGCACAGGCAGAGTAATTTAATTCCAAACTGCCACCTAGTGATAATATTTTTGCATAACTTTATTTAAAGAGTAGATAATATTTATTTACACTGTGCACAACAACGTTTGAAGGTTACTTCAAAGTACAGACACCTGTGAGAAGCAAAGGAAGTCAGAACTAATAAAGTACTTTTAAGCACTCATACAATAATTAGTTTAGCTCCTGTTCAGCTTTGCTATCACTATCCCTTTCCAAAACTGCAGGCCAGAAAAAAAATGTTTAACAGTGGCTTGAAACCCCTTCCAGATACTGTATTGTACCCCTCTGCCCACCTTTATCAAATTATACAGATGATAGAAACCTATAAAATCCAGTAGTAACCTCCTCCCTATTTCATGATGTACCTACAGCAAACCCCACCGGACCAGGTGGCAGAGGCTTTCCAGGAACAGCAGAAGTGATTCGGGAATCGAGCAGCACCACAGGAATGGTGGTTGGGATTGTGGCAGCAGCTGCTCTTTGCATTCTCATCCTCCTGTATGCTATGTACAAGTACAGGAATAGGGACGAAGGCTCCTACCATGTGGATGAGAGCAGAAACTACATCAGTAACTCCGCTCAGTCCAATGGGGCTGTTGTGAAAGAGAAGCAGGTGAACAATGCCAAAACCTCCAGCAAAAACAAGAAGAATAAGGATAAAGAGTACTACGTCTGATTATATATTCTGAAGAGGGAAACGTGTAAAAGAGAAAAGGAAAACAAAAAAAAACTTCATTTTATCAAAGACTTGGTTAAACTGAGATTTACTTTTTTGCAAAGCACACAGGATAAGGACAGTACACATTATCGGGAAGAAAAGACGATGGTTTGTAAAGTAAGCATTAATATTTCAAGCTGGTTGAAGTCTCCTACTTGTTCACAGTGTTTTCATTCGCTCCATCTTCTCGTTGTCTGAACTTTACTGTGGAGACAACAGCATGAAGCATTCATAAAGAAGAGTATTACAACAGTGCACAGAGAATCTACCTGTTACCCATGAGTTTTCAGCCAAAGTGCTAAACAATTGTGCAACATGACAGAAATCTCATTACTCCAAGAAACTTAAAAAAAACAATAGTTAGCAGACCCTTGACAATAAAGAGTTTATCATCTTTACATCCATGGGCGACCTGTGTTTAAGTGCTGGCTACAACATAAGACTAATGTTAAAATAGTATAAAGTGGAATAATCCCTTTCTGGTTGTAAGTCGTGAGGAAAGCCTTAATTTCATCCACAGGAAATGTAAGGCATGGATATACACAGATGAAAGAGAGCATAGATACAATCATTTGAAAATTTTCATGCACGCTAATATGTTATTACATACATTTATACAAACACGTATATGTGCTTTCTGGACTGTGATGAGTGATGTTTTATAGCCTGTTGTATAGACAATGCAAATATCTCTGCTAACCAGACATTTTTTGGTAAACGTAATGTTATAGCTGTAGCTAGGTTTAGACAGGTTTGAAGTTGTTGATGACATCTGCAATGTTCAAATGTTTTTTGCAGCCGTCATTAATAGTCTCAAACTATTTTTTTTAATTTTCATTGTATTGAATGTCTACCATACATGTATGAGGGGATACATATGAATGTATGTATAATTTAGCTGCATTTTTTGTAATTGTCTCAGACCGTAATCTCTTATGTTTCAATGAGGTTTTGTTGTGTGGGAAACAAAGTGAGTTTTAAAATGAAATGGTGGCTAATGCTATGAAATCTTTGTAAGGTCAACCATTTGAAATTGGTTTCAATTATTTCCCTTTCTTTATGTTTGCTATATCCCACGGGAAAATGAGAAATGCTAAAAGGAATTTTTGATCTTTCAATTATTTGCAAGCCACATTTTGATGTTGCTTAATGTCAATGTACTTGTTACATGGAAATCCTCCTAAATATCCATGGAGTCATTGCAGAAAATAGAGTTGGGTTATTCATTCCTATTTTTTAAATTTACGTTTCATCTTTTTAAAAAAAAAAATCCCTTAACTCATCTGAAAAGTTGGAAACTTTAACATTAAGGCATTGAAAGTTTTTAATTTTTAGCTTTGACTGAACAGTCCAATATGTGGAATATTAAACTATATAGATCTTAAGAGCTCGTTATTTAGCTTCTGTATTATTTTTAGATGATCTCACAGCAATAAACCCAGTTGTAATGTGCTTCAAATCAAATACAAAGGGAATATATTAGGTTCTATGGGTGTACTTCAAGGGAAACCAGCTCAATTGCTAGAAGACCTCCTGGGAGAAAAATAGATGTTCAAGCATTCAAACAGGAACGAGGAATTTAAAATTAGCTTTAAACAGCAGGGACCACAACATAACAGGAATCATGCATTTTTGTCAGCAATCATTTAGAATTGGCTGTAGCCTCCTTGCCAACTGCTCCAGCCACCTCAATGACATCTAAAACAATTCATTATGTTTGTCACTTTCTGCAATCCACCTCAGATAAATCCTGTGTACACAAGCCTCATTCTTGATCACTTTGCTTTTACCTTGGAGACAAAGTTGTGCTCTCATCCTGTATATCAAAATAAAATTCTCAGTTTATGAGGAAGAGGGGTTGAACAGATAAGTCCTTAATCACAATAACATCACACATACCCTGTTGTGATGTGATTTATGTTATTGTATTGAGCATTTGTAGACAGTAATATATTCTATGAAAGTTATTCACGAAGACTGCACTCATTTAAATTTTAATATGAATACTAACATGAAATTACTGGCCCATTTTATTCTTGAACTATTGTATAGTTGCAGTTATAATCCATTTAACTATGTCTCTAGTAACAAGTAAAACAAATTAACCATGTTCAAACTTCCCACACAAACTACTGTTGATATTCATAATAATGAAATTAAGAATGTCTACAAGAGTATATCTGAACATTTTATTTCCTAATTTTAACAGAAGGAAACCATACAATCCAGAAGACCAAATGTACAAGTAAATGAGATCAATGTTTCTTTCCCCTCAAGTTGCAGTGATCTGCCTATTAGGAAACAGTTTTGGAGTTTGTTGAGAAATTCCTCTGCAACTAAAATTATTTTTTAGGTCTCATGGTTTTCTGGATTCAGCATGGAATCATGACTGGTGCAAGGTGATACTCTCCAGAAGTGCATTGTTATGGTGATGCAAAGATGCATGAAAGAGGTCCATGGGCTGGTGGTTTACAACAGACAACAGGCAAAAGATGGAATAAAAATGTTTGTTAACTTTAGTTAACCCCATTATTAAACATGCTCATACAGTCAGAGAGACATTAAAAGTGGCTGTAGGAGCTGTAGAAAGCAACTAGACAACAGTAGAATATATTGTAAAGTAACTAGCACTTGACTAATTAGACAGTTTTAAGCTATTCATGTTGCCAAGGTGGTTGTATCCATGCAGTCAATAATTTGGTTTAATGGCTGCACCGAAGCAACTTTTTCTTATGTCTTAAACTACCTACAGCCCCTAGCATGGCAGTTTCCAAATCTCATTTAGGTTGATACTGTTTGGTACTGTAATGTGTTGTGTTTTGGCAAACTCTTGTTTTAAAACTGTATGAAATTTTACTTATGAATGATGCATTTCACACAAGATACGACAAGCAAAATCATTCAAAAGCCCCATCTTCGAATGCTTTGTGTGATTAATATTGAAAGAAAATTTTGTTGCAAAAGCCAAGTTAACCATTATTGGAAATGCTAAGCCAGTGGAATTTACTGTTTTTTTGTTAATAAAATGTTTCTTATAATAGAAATCTTGTGATATACAATCTTTTGTTTCTTCCCTGCTCAACTTCAAATAACACTCAAACAAGTACAAAAAAAATCATTGGAACAGTTATGTTATGATATTTCATCACTTATTCCCTACTTTTCATAGTTCAACCAACTTTGTTTATGGGTTTGTAATCTAGCCAAAATTGATCTATTTAAGAACCTTATAATGTGACTACTTTGCTGTATTTCATCAGATGAAATAAAGTTCCAGGTTTTTGGGGTTGTCACAGCAGATACTAGCTTTAATTCATTTGTATGTGTGCCTGCTCCAGGGATTCAAATGCAACGTGTAAGTAAAAAATTGTACACTAAACCAACATCTCCCTGGAGATCCTTAATTTGAATATATATAATTGTCATATGAATCAAAGACTTTTATTTTACTTTGCAGAGTAACAGCTTTTTATGTAAACTCATTGAGCTGAGCTCTAAGAGGCACATGCTTCCTGTTCTTCAGCTGAAAATTTAGGGGAGCTTGCCTACGATCCCAGTATTGCCAAATGCTGTAAGACAAGACGTTGGCCGATTTCTTCGAAGGAATTCCCACCTTAAGATGGCTGGCAGCAAGTGGAAGCTCCTGTCGTTGCTGGGGCCATAAGCAAATCCACCACGACAACGTCCCAGATCGGTGTCACAGTAAGGGGTGTGGGAGATCAAGTTCAGAAACACAGAGGAGAAACTCAAAGATGGAGGAAATGACATTTGGGTGGAATGTCACCAATAGTCGGTGGGGCCACACAAGAAGGCTCCCTGGTTCCCTTCCTTGACACCATACTGTACAGCTAAATCTACCATGCTTTCTGCATAGTATGTGGCCTAACTCTCTGCCATGACTAAGGTGGTAACAAGATTTGGCCTCATTCGGCTGAAGGGTGGAAGATTGCTGTTGCTTCTCTTGCCCTCAATAAAATGTCAGATAGGTGTGAAGTGGATAAGAAGACCACACACTTGAATTTCTGTGCCTCACTGCCTTCAAATCCTGCAGTGGGGAATCCTTTAACCTATCCTATTGATCACCATGCCTCTTCCTTTCTTGTCAATTTCACTCCTCTCTGTTGCTGTGATTATCTAGTCAACAGGGGATAGATTTTCATGAAGGAGGCAGAAAGATTGAATTCAGAGACTTCCTGACCCAGAAGACCCATCTTCTTTGAAAGGGCTTCTGCTGGCCATATTTTTGTTCCAGGAAGTCGGAATGGCCTGAGATTGGACCTATCATTTCCAGATTCAGATCCAAGTTGACAGTGGTAGCTGCAGGATGACAAATATCTGCCTCTATTCACTGGAGAATTCACCTAATTGTAATGATTATATGTCAGGCTGTCAAGCCATCACCCTCAACCCCACATGTACACTTGATCTCCATTCCCCATGCCCATCAAGCATTCTCAATGTTCCCAATCCTTTGTGTAATCCCTCCATAATCATCATACACCCACGTGTGCCCTCCATAAAAGCTCCAATAAGAAACTTGGGCAGACTAGAGTATATGTTTGAGTTTTATGTCTTATTCAAAGACAACTCATTTGGAATATGAAATATGAAACATCAACTTTCCTGCTCCTCGATGCTGCCTGGCCTGCTGTGTTCCTCTAACTCCACACTTTGTTATCTCTGACTCCAGCATCTGCAGTTCTTACTATCTCATATGAAATAATTGCTCATCCACTAAAAGCCATTCAAATAATTTAACTCTCCGCAAGTGGTCAATCTGCTATAACAATAAATAAACATTGTCCACTAGACACAAGATAATCCTTTAATAACCTCCTAAGACTTAATCAAAATTTGAATGCAGCCACCTGCTGAGACAAGTGATTCTGGACTTTTGAAATTCTGCAAGCATACATAACAGCCCCAGCTCTCAAAACAAACATGTGAACAATGGATTGCGTTGCAACAGAAATAGCAAATAGCCTTTTTAAGAGTTGTAGCTGAAATTTAAATTCCATTGCAAAACAGTTTGCATGATAATGGAGTGCAGCAGGCACTTTTTTTTTGTTTCAAAAACATGAAAGGTCATTTTGTTTCAAAGTTGATCATTAATGGACATTTAAGTCTAGTGCCAAACATGACAAGAATTTCTCAGCCCATGTTTCTGCAACCTGTGATGCACATTAATTATAAAACGAGATCATAGCACTTTAAAAAATTGCAATAAATTTCATTGAACTTTACTATCTGTATGATTGGTATATCTGTGGTAGTGGGATATGAGTGCGCAGAGAGTGCCTGCACTCAGAAATCCTGGACTTGTCTACTCCAATGTTGGGGTGGGAATTTCAGATCTCCTGCGATTTCATAAAAATTAGCTAATTTTGGCAAGAGGTGAGTCATAATCAATGGAAGAAACTCAGCCCTGTGTGGAGAACCCAAAATCACATTACCTGTTTCCTGGAATTCTTCCACTGACAGGCTTTGAAATACAAAAACACACATTCTTCCAGTTTCAGTCATTAAATATTGTATTATACATTAGATGTGTTTCACTGTGGTATGGATTACAGTGATTGGATCTGCAAAGTTTAAGTTAATTATTACATTGATCAGCATTAGTACTGGTTAAGTATTAAAATGTGTTGGTATATTTTACCCCATAGAAAGAAAAATACCATTATCAATTCAAAAGTTGCAGAAACATGGACTGAGAAATTCTTGTCATGCTTGTAACTAGTAGTAATGCTAATTAACTTAAACTTTGCAGATCCAATCACTGTAATCCATACCACAGTGAAACACATCTAATGTATAATACAGTATTTAATGACTGAAACTGGAAGAATGTGTGTTTTTGTAT